GATCAGGAGACTTCATGGAGTTTGACATTCAAGCTTCATTTTTAATGAAGTTTGAAATTTCCTATTAGAAAAAGAAAAGACACAAATGAGACAATGAGAGTGGGCCTACGAAGCTATAAAAATGAATTCGAATAGCACAGCTCAAATAATTTGATCTCGGGAGGGTTTGATGAGAAATTTCTATTACAAGTTCTATTGACTGAAATAAGACTTTTTCTTGCAAACTTCACAAATGACATAATTTGTGATATTGGGATCCTTCTTCTGAAACTCCAGGAGATCCATATGAGATTACTGTTTTTTTGTTTGCTTGTTTGTTTTCTCATTATAAAAAAAGGGACTTTACAACTCAGCATTTGCTTTCCATTTATTTCACTGCTGTCTATGAGAAACAATATACAGGCCTATACTATTGGTCTAAAGATTGGAATAATTCTTTTTTTTCATGTTTTTGAAAAGGCTCTTATGCTCACCAAGGCTGCGTTTGTTTGGTCAAGTAAAAACAGTAATACTGTGAAATATTTTTACAATTTAAAATCATTTAATTTGGTGCTCAGGAAACATTTCTTATAATCAATGATGAAAACATGTTTGTGGAAACTGTTACACTACCATTCAAACGTTTGGGGTAAACAGGATTTAAAAAAATTTATATGTTACAAAGATAATATGTTAATATCTCACTATTTCAAATAGTTTTTAAATGTATTTTTAAAATGTATTTATTAAAGAATTTTGAAAGAAAAAACATAATAAAAATCTATCACACACACACACACACACAAAAAAATTCAGCTTTGATCACAGAAATAAATTATTTTATAAATTACAGAAATAAATTACATTTGAAAACATATTTAAATAGAAAACGGTTAAATTTATTTAAATTGTAATAATATTTCACAATATTACTGTTTTGATCAAATAAATGCAGCCTTGGTGAGCACAAGAGGCTTTCAAAAACATTAAAAAGTCTTAATGATTTCAAACCTATACATACATACAGACATGCATACATATATGTACTGGCGACTAAAGCAAACTGGCCATATGATAACAGTACTTTCAGATCAGTTTTGTAAAAGAACAGACAATATCCAGAACTCGTTTCCCAGCACAAAGGGAGTTTCATGTTGTTTTACCAGGGTAATAACTGTGTAATACTTTGAATACTGTATTTATTCTTAGGTAGATTGTTTTCAAAGTCCTCTAAAAATATGTCAGAGAGCTACATCTCATGGTGTTCTTTGTCTGAGATGTGCTTTATCTTATGGGATCTGTCTCCCCCTAGTGGTGCCAAAAAGAACGTGAATCAATCCTAAAGATAGAGTACGAACAGGAATATACTGTATTTAATATTTGATTAAAACGGTGCTTCAATTTCATGGTTCATCTAGGTGAAGAAAAACAATAACTACCTTAAAAATGACACTAGTTCCTCTGTATACGCGATCCAAAAGCTGTAAACTCAACCCTCAAACATGATCTACTGACAGTCCAGTAATGTAACGACATATTTACATGGATTTGTAGGCACTAAAATCTATAATGGAAAACCAGGCTTCAAAACAAACTCCTGAACGCTGATATCCCTAATGACAGGCTTCCTGGCGCTGTTTACAGGGTCCGGCAAATGCCTATTAGTGGCTGCATACAGGCATGACCGCAGGGCCTGAAGCCCTTTAACCTTGTTTAATCACTCACTGAGAACAATCACAACACAGATGGCCTGCAGATCCCAGATCAGCCCTGCTCTCGAAATCATTACTCACTGACAAGCGTGACTGATCCTGGGACAGTTCAGAGGACTCCACATCAGCCATGGCAATCACAGCGTTTCACTCTGATCTCTGGCTTGCGTCTTGGGTTACACATGAAAGTGCACGCGGGCCTCTAGTTTGGCCTGGGTTTTAACACAGCCCTCTGGGGCCCTGCAGCAGCAAAGCAGAGGTCAGAAAATACACTACACGAGCATGCAGGTACAGATGCGAATGTTCGGGTAAAGCCTTGTTCGCATTGGTCCTGATAAATATAGTATATAAGTTTTTGCATTACATCTGTGGCAATAACAAACCTCAGTCTCAAGGGAGCAATAGGGTAACTTTTAAATGTAGGTGCTATTAAAGAAACTGTTAGTGCAAGAGTGCAAATTCTGTCAATGTTTCCTCACCCTCATATCAATGCATATGACTTGGAATATGGTGTTCATAGACTATAGTAGCCTACTATTATGGTGCATTTTGCGTAGCCTTTGTTAAGGCTTGTTCACACCAGACTGATATCTACAGTGATAGTTTGTTTAACAATAAAGAAATGAAAATTTGCCCTATCTATTTAATAGATCGTATTGTAAACAATTTATCTATGCATCTGTTTCTCTAGTGACGTATCCATTTTCTTTAGAATTCTTTAGAAAATAAATGTATTAATGTGTATTTTTTTTGGAAGGATGTATTATTTCATAAAATAATTTGAGCATTACGTGTCACTGATTAAAATATATATAAAAAATGTATTTGATTGATTATTTGATTAGAATTTTTTACATTTATAATTGATTATCTGTCACTGTCTGTACATTGTTTTTGAACATTAACAAACAAACAAATAAACAAATAAATACATACATGCATATATACATACACTTCCCTGGTTCTCAAAAGCGGAGGTCATCATAGTTGGGAAATTGTCTATTTTCTAAACTACAACAAATAGAATTTGTTGCCCCAATAGCAAAAGAAAAAATCCACAAGAGCATTTCTTTGACTTTCTAAAAAAAAAAAAAATTGGTTTCACCTTATGAGCTCAAAATCCACAACACATATACAAAAAAATATATAAATAAATAAATTATATATATATATATATTTCTTTAAATGATGTCATAAAATAGTAGTTCAGTAGTTTACAAACCACATGAAAAATAAGAAGGAAAAAAAAGAAATTAAAAAAAGACATTGACTGACATAATAATCTAAAAGAACCATAACAGTAGACGACCGATCTTAGAAAAAGAAAAGGTACAAAAGCTGTCACTGGGGCCATAACTTTTCCAAAAGTACACCTTTGTGTAACCCACCTAAGGGTGCATATTAGTACCTGAAAGGTACATATTACTAAAGTGAACATATTAGCATGTAAATGGCACATATAAGTACCTTTTGATAAGTACCCCAGTGGCAGTTTTTTTTTTCTTCTTCTTCTGAGAGTGTGTCTGGAGACTTCATCTCATGTGAAAGTTCAACATTTTAAACCAATTTTATATATATATATATATATAGATGTACAACTTTTCACAGATGAAAAACAATTTTAGCCTATTTTAAACAAGGAATTAGAACTTGTTTGAGAGGGCAGCAGCTACACCCGAACCACGTCAAATCTGGGCTAAGACAGTCTCACTGCATTATCAGTGATTTAGCTGAGTGAAAGAGAAAATGACCCGCAAAAACACAGTAGGGATGGAGTATAAATAGCACAACGCTAATGTGTGTAATTAGAGAGTCTGTCTGTACCTCTTTAATTCAGTAAACGTCAACTGCTCGGTTTAACGCAAGGCGGTTTATTTTATTGTGCAGCAGTGACATCTAGCGGCCAATGAGAGAACAGCCAGTAAACATCAGGGGCCTGTACCATGAAGCTGGATTAGCTGGCTAGCCAGGGCTGCGTTCAGCCCCAACAAAACGGTGCAAAACGTGTTTTAAACGGAAACGGTGATGCGTTGAACACCCTGTTCTGATGACGCAAGAGTTGCACATTATTGCTGAGCACTGTTGTTGTGCTATGATATTGTAATATTTACCATTATATAATCAGAGGAATATAGAAAAGTTTATGAAAGTGTCACTCCATAATACAATAGCAAAATATATAAATATGTATAGTATTTTTATGTTACATTAATCAGTGTCTAGCACACCTTCCTAAGGAAAGGATATGGACCAGAAGACATTGCAATTACTAAATGATATTTAGACAGACTTAAAGAAGTTCCAGATCTATACTTGTGCTCTTATTATTTCAGTTATTTTGCCTTTAATGTAAATAAACATGTGCCAACAATATACTTGCTCTTGTCAATTTATTTTGATGTTAATTACATAGTGCCAGCTTTCTCTTTAATACCATGTGGTTTATATACATGTTGTTGCTGATTGGGCTGACATTTTTGACACACCCACCAAACAAGAGAAAACGCATCTCAACCCCC